CAGATACGCATAAGAACATTCTGAGAAGCTGGAACAGGTGCTGTAAGACAAGAATAATGCAGGCCATAGATGGGTCGAAAATCGGCCAATTTTTTCAGCTGAAAATAAAAATCGGCCGATTTTCGGATCGTTAGTGGGTTAATTGTTCGGCCATTTTTCGGTATTTTTGCAGATCTTTTTTATCGACAAAGTTGGAAAAAGATCAGCCGATTTTGCCGATTTTTGCGCCAAATTATGGGCAAATCGGCCAATCTTTTTACCGATAAAAAATCTGCGCATGAGCAGTTACCTGCAAGAGGAAGACAAAAAGAAGAAAGAAGAAGAGAGGATGAAGAAGAGGGAGGAGGCGGAGGAGGATGAAGAAGAGGGAGGAGGCGGAGGAGGATGAAGAAGAGGGAGGAGGCGGAGGAGGATGAAGAAGAGGGAGGAGGCGGAGGAGGATGAAGAAGAGGGAGGAGGCGGAGGAGGATGAAGAAGAGGGAGGAGGCGGAGGAGGATGAAGAAGAGGGAGGAGGCGGAGAAGGATGAAGAAGAGGGAGGAGGCGGAGGAGGATGAAGAAGAGGGAGGAGGCGGAGAAGGATGAAGAAGAGGGAGGAGGCGGAGGAGGATGAAGAAGAGGGAGGAGGCGGAGGAGGATGAAGAAGAGGGAGGAGGAGGAGGATGAAGAAGAGGGAGGAGAGGAGGATGAAGAAGAGGGAGGAGTAGGAGGATGAAGAAGAGGGAGGAGTAGGAGGATGAAGAAGAGGGAGGAGTAGGAGGATGAAGAAGAGGGAGGAGTAGGAGGATGAAGAAGAGGGAGGAGGATGAGGGAGGAGGATGAAGAAGAGGGAGGAGGAGGAGGGAGGAGGATGAAGAAGAGGGAGGAGGAGGAGGATGAAGAAGAAGAGGATGAAGAAGATGAAGAATAATTCCAGTCTGGCAAAAAGTGTCCCTGCAGAGAACTCCGCTATTTCTTTGACAGTGCTTTGACATTTATAGCGGTTGCAGCAATGCATCTATTTGTTTCCGAATAAAAACATCTGTATCCGAAATGGATACAAATAGATACAATGTTGCAACCACTATAAATGTCAAAGAAATAGCGGAGCTCTCTGCAGGGACAGTTTTTGCCGGCTGCAGACGGGATGAAAATCGGCCGATTTTTTTTTTACCATTCCTGGTAACGTCGGCCGCTTGAACGACCGATTTTTCGGTTTTTTAAAGAAAAATCGGCCGGTTTTCTCCCCATCTATGGCCTGCATTAGTCACTTCCGTCGTCTACTTCCGGCTTCTTCCCAAAGACTCTAAAGGACAAACTGAACATGGAAGACGCACATGGCCGGACAGCCAAGACAATAAGGGTGACATCTTTAAACTTCTGCTATGATATTTCTGGTTTTTTTCTACATGGAACTGTTCATGATACGCTTTACATTATTTTAAGCCATTGTGTGATAGAATAAAACACTTTATTTTTTACTTTGCCGGCACTTTAATCACAAGCAAAATTGCCTATAGACGCTAAAGAAGTACTATATGTGTCTCAGAAATCCAACAACGTCATATGCTCCGACTCCTCCCTAAGCGTTTCGTCATCAATGACGGTGTCAAGAGCAGGACAGAACATCAGCATCCCAAACACGCAACCATAATGCCCTATGCATCTGAACAGCCACCAGCGTAATCAAATGCTTAAAAGGTTAACTACCCAATGATCCGTCCAAATGATCAAACTACCCCCCCACTTGTAGAAATAGTGGGGCATCTTCATGCACAAGGCTTAACAGAGGGATTAACTGACCTCTGACCTTGAAGGAAGAGGATTCTGAAGCTTTGCATGCAACAAATCCTGAAGGATAACAGAGGAAACTTCTCTGACCCCTCTACAGAAGTCCTATGATGGGGCTACAGCCAACAAATGCATTGCTATTGATGGTGTCAAGAGCAGGACAGAACATCAGCATCCGAAACACACAACCATAATGCCCTATGCATTTGAACAGCCATCAGTCCCAAGCAAGACACTAGTTTTGAAGCCTTCACGGTTCATCATAAGTCTCCAGAAACCCCTAAACAGCTCATCCACTCCCTCATCATATCACGACTGGACTACTGCAACTCCCTCCTCACTGGCCTGCCTCGCCGCTGGCTATCCCCGCTTCAGTCCATCCTGAATACGGCTGCCAGACTCATTCACCTTTCCAACTGCTCCGTCTCCGCCACCCCCCTCTGCCAATCCCTCCACTGGCCTCCACTCAGTGTCCTCCACCCCCCTCTGCCAATCCCTCCACTGGCCTCCACTCAGTGTCCTCCACCCCTCTCTGCCAATCCCTCCACTGGCCTCCACTCAGTGTCCTCCACCCCCTCTGCCAATCCCTCCACTGGCCTCCACTCAGTGTCCTCCACCCCCCTCTGCCAATCCCTCCACTGGCCTCCACTCAGTGTCCTCCACCCCCCTCTGCCAATCCCTCCACTGGCCTCCACTCAGTGTCCTCCACCTGCCAATCCCTCCACTGCCTCCACTCAGTGTCCTCCACCCCTCTCCAATCCCTCCACTGGCCTCCACTCAGTGTCCTCCACCCCCCTCTGCCAATCCCTCCACTGGCTTCCGATTGCGCAACGGATCAAATTCAAAACCCTAACACTGACGTACAAAGCCGTCCACCATACTACCCCGAACTACATCACCGACCTAATATCCAAGTACCGCCCAACACGCACACTCCGCTCCTCACAAGACCTCCTTCTCTCTAGTTCCCTGGTCTCCTCCTCCCATGCCCGCCTCCAGGACTTCTCCAGGGTGTCCCCCATCCTCTGGAACTCCCTGCCCCAACCCATCAGAATATCACCTACTCTCCTCTCCTTTAGGCGCACCCTGAAAACCCATCTCTTCAGGGAAGCCCTACCCCACCCCCTGCTAACTTGCCGACCTCCTCCACTCTTCCTACCACTCCATCCCCCACAGCTATCTCCTCCTGTGCCACCATCCCCTCCCTCCTAGATTGTAAGCTCCAAGGAGCAGGGCCCTTGAACCCCTCATGTTTTGCATTGTATTGATATTGTTCTGTCACATGTTCTGTCCCCCTTTGTAATGTACAGCGCTGAGCCAACTATTGGCGCTTTATAAATACTGTATAATAATAATAATAAGTCTCCAGACGTGTTCCAACCATTTGGTGAAACATGAACCTATGCCAGCTATGGAGGGGTCCTCTCCAAGGGCTCTCACCCATTCTTGAAAAAGGAGGTCAGGTCCCCAAAACGCATCATATCCATGGAAACCCGCACTTTTCTGGGGTGCACACTACTCCACTGAGCGATAGCTGGTCTTCCTCCCTACCACCGATGCCCGTCAGCTTCATCCTGTGGTGCGGCCGGCTCCCTGCTCTCATTCCCCTCTGTAGCACACACAGGCTCAAGGCGAGGATAAGAAAGGCGAGTGAACAGCAGAACGTGGTGCCTTTACAAAAGGTCTGTTGGAGAAGGACGTCTACATTGAAGGGTTCACGGTTGTGTTTGATACTCATGATGGCACCCTTGGAGCATGGAAGTGTATAGATAATCCAGATAATAAGGAGCTTTATCGCACTAGAGGTTGCACTTCCCTTTGCTTTTCTTGTACATATTGTCCACAGACCTTGCTCAATCACCCTAGGTTCACACCTATGCGGCCCGCGTTTTGCTCGGGGACGAGAGCCCATTCATGTGAATGGACGCCCGCGCCACGCAGGGAAAGAAGTCCCTGCACTACTTTGGAAACGCAGCCGAGGTTCCCAGTACGGTTGCGTTTCCCAGTGCAGGTGGCTTGCCATTAGGTCCGCAATTCTCTGTACGGGAGGTGCAAGGATTTTCGCACGGATACGCAGTGGCACCACCTGCTCAGATGTGAACTAGCAGTCAAGGGATGGCTGCAGAGATTCCAGCATTTTGAAGGCTGCATTGGTATGGAATTTGTAGTATATTGGTGCTTTCAGCCAATCTGTCAAGGTTTGGGCAGTTTTAGGTTACTGCCAGTATAGGGCAGAGGACCACCCCTGCTACTTCGAAATGGGATCTAAGGGAACTTAATCACCTGTCTGTGAAATCCTGAAATGTGACCATGCCATCCAGCCACTTGTATAGTATGCTGGTTCAGGTAGACCACTAGAAAATCTATGGTGGGTAAAGACCAACGATCTCAAAACACTGGCAGGTGATGCCCAAGATCCTCTATTGGTAGACAACACCAATTATACAACAAAAGTGTCCAGGATATGGGGGAGGCTGCGGCCCTGCCAGATGGAGTGAAGGTAGACCTCAAAGAGGACAAGCCAATAATATTGGACACCCAAAGTTACTGATTACAGGCCTTGGTTCCTTCCAGGAATATCAAATAAATGGTCCCACAACCACCAGGGGACTATGGTCTGTGACCACCCATGGCAGCAACACGGTCTTCTGTGCATGGTAAAGCAATATGCAACTTTACCCATCGAGAGCCTCTAGTAGCCACATACTTAGGCAGCTGGTGAGATGTTCAGGTGGCCTGAAGGTCACAATGCAGGCTGGTCCTGCATCTCCAGTCTAGTAGAGTCCAGGAATGACCTGCAGGATATGTACAGTGTATGTACGATTTATTTTTGTTATATATCTATATATACACACTACATTGCCAGATGTATTGGACCCGCCCTCCCAATCGTGATTCAGGTGTCCCAATCCTCTCCATATCATGTGATTCAGGTGTTCCAATCCTCTCCATATCATGTGATTCAGGTGTTCCAATCCCCTCCCAATCATGTGATTCAGGTGCTCCAATCCCCTCCCAATCATGTGATTCAGGTGCTCCAATCCCCTCCCAATCATGTGATTCAGGTGCTCCAATCCCCTCCCAATCATGTGATTCAGGTGCTCCAATCCCCTCCATATCATGTGATTCAGGTGTTCCAATCCCCTCCCAGTCATGTGATTCAGGTGTTCCAATCCCCTCCCAGTCATGTGATTCAGGTGTTCCAATCCCCTCCGTCATGTGATTCAGGTGTTCCAATCCCCTCCATATCATGTGATTCAGGTGTTCCAATCCCCTCCATATCATGTGATTCAGGTGTTCCAATCCCCTCCCAGTCATGTGATTCAGGTGTTCCAATCCCCTCCAGTCATGTGATTCAGGTGTTCCAATCCCCTCCCAGTCATGTGATTCAGGTGTTCCAATCCCCTCCCTATCATGTGATTCAGGTGTTCCAATCCCCTCCCTATCATGTGATTCAGGTGTTCCAATCCCCTCCAATCATGTGATTCAGGTGTTCCAATCCCCTCCATGGACACAGGTGTATACAATCCATCCCCTAGGCATGCAGACGGCTTCTACAAACATTGGGGAAAGAATGGGTCGCTCTCAGGAGCTCAGTGACTCCAAGCGTGGTCCCGTGATAGGTGGCCACCTGTGCAATAAGTCCATCCGTGACATTTCCTGGCTACTAAATATTCCACGCTCAACTGTTAGTGGGATTATAACAAAGTGGAAGCCACTGGGAACAACAGCCACTCAGCCACCAAGTGGTAGGCCACGTCACATGACAGGGCGGGGTCAGCGCATGCTGAAGCGCACAGTGCTCTCCATATCATGTGATTCAGGTGTTCCAATCCCCTCCCAATCATGTGATTCAGGTGTTCCAAACCCCTCTCAATCAAGTGATTCAAGTGTTCCAATCCCCTCCCAATCATGTGATTCAAGTGCTCCAATCCCCTCCCAATCATGTGATTCAGGTGCTCCAATCCCCTCCCAATCATGTGATTCCGGTGTTCCAATCCCCTCCCAATCATGTGATTCAGGTGTTCCAATCCCCTCCATATTTTGTGATTCAGGTGTTCCAATCCACTCCCAATCATGTGATTCCAGTGTTCCAATCCCCCCCATATCATGTGATTCAGATGTTCCAATCCCCTCCATATCATGTGATTCAGGTGTCCCAATCCCCTCCATATCATGTGATTCAGGTGTCCCAATCCCCTCCATATCATGTGATTCAGGTGTCCCAATCCCCTCCATGGACACAGGTGTATACAATCAAGCCCCTAGGCATGCAGACGGCTTCTACAAACATTGGTGAAAGAATGGGTCGCTCTCTCAGGAGCTCAGTGACTCCAAGCGTGGTCCCGTGATAGGTGGCCACCTGGGCAATAAGTCCATCCGTGACATTTCCTGGTTACTAAATATTCCACGCTCAACTGTTAGTGGGATTATAACAAAGTGGAAGCAACTGGGAACAACAGCCACTCAGCCACCAAGTGGTAGGCCACGTCACATGACAGGGGGGTCAGCGCATGCTGAAGCGCACAGTGCGCAGAAGTCGCCAACTGTCTGCAGAGTCAATAGCTAAAGACCTCCAAACTTGGTGTGGCCTTCAGATGAGCCAAACAACAGTGCGTAGAGAGCTTCATGGAATGGGTTTCCATGGCCGAGCAGCTGCATCTAAGCCTTCCATCACCAAGTGCAATGCAAAGCCTCGGATGCCGTGGTGTAAAGCACGCCGCCACTGGGCTCTAGAGCAGGGGAGGAGTGTTCTCTGGAGGGACCAATCACGCTTCTCTGTCTGGCAATCCAATGGGCGTGTCTGGGTTTGGCGGTTGCCAGGAGAACGGTACTTGCCTGACTGCATTGTGCCAAGTGTAAAGTTTGGTGGAGGGGGGATTATGGTGTGGGGGTGTTTTTCAGGGGTTGGGCTTGGCCCCTCTAGTTCCAGTGAAGGGAACTCTTAAGGCGACATTTTGGACAATTTCATGCTCCCAACTTTGTGGGAAGGAGTTTGGGGATGGCCCCTTCCTTTCCAACATGACTGCCCACCAGTGCACAAAGCAAGGTCCATAAAAACATGGAGGAGCCAGTTGGGGTGGAGGAACTTGACTGTCCTGCACAGAGTCCTGACCTCAACCCCATAGAACACCTTTGGGATGAATTAGAGCGGAGACTGCGAGCCAGGCCTCCTCCCCCGACCCCCCCCCCCGACATCAGTGCCTGACCTGACAAATGTGCTTCTGGAAGAATGGTCCAACCTTCCCATAGACACCCTCCTAAACCTTGTGGACGGCCTTCCCAGAAGAGTTGAAGCTGTTATAGCTGCAAAGGGCGGGGCCAACTCAATATTGAACCCTACGGACTAAGACTGGGGGGCCATTAAAGGTCATGTGCGTGGAAAGGGCGGCGGGGCCCAATACTTGGGCAATATAGTGTATATACAGGGGGGGGGGGGGGGACAATACTTGGGGCAATATAGTGTATATACAGGGGGGGGGGGACAATACTTGGGGCAATATAGTGTATATACAGGGGGGGGGGGGGGACAATACTTGGGACAATATAGTGTATGTACACCTCAGGACACATCGGTGTGACGGTCAGCGGGAAGAATTCCCTCCTTACAGATCACTAAGAAGATGACTGGTGTCAGAGGAAGGTATCTGAGGCAGAAAATGCTCCAGGAACCCCGAGCAACCTCTGGAGGGGCCCTGCTCTAGTGGGGGAGACGTCAGGATGTCGCCCCACCAGCAGAGGGCGCTGTCCGCGTTTCTACAAGGTTCTCAAACTGATACAAACTCTGGAGGGACTCTCCGATCTCCTGAGGAAGTCTCCAGGCAGGGGGGCGCCCCGAACATGATGACGATACAATGACCTCTCCCCTCCCCCCACACACTGTACCCAGCCTCCCTCCCCACTTCATCACACGGTACACTCAAAACACTACACACCGATTCTCTCTCTCTCTCCCCGGACTTCCGGTCGAAGGGCGGGCCTAACTGACCTGTACTCCTCCTACATTCACTTGGCCAGAAGGAAGGGGATGTGGCGCGTGCGCCATCTTGCTACACCCGGCTGTGATCCCCAGCGTGCGGTCATGTGACCCAGAAAGCAATTGCAAGGGGCGGGAGGCTGAGGACGGCCGTGTCCTCCAATGACCGCTGACTGTCTGTGTGAACCCCGCCCACTGACCTATCCGCTAACAGACCACGCCCCCGACCTGCTGACTGAGTGAGGGGGAGGAGCCTTGACTAAGGTGAGCTCTGACTAGCCATCCCCAACACTACCTACCTACCCTTCCCCCTACCCACCAACTATATAGAACTACCTACCCATCCCCCTACCCACCCAACATATTACCCATCCCCCTAAAATCCTACCCATCCCCCTACCCAACACTACCCACCCACCAACTATATAGAACTACCTACCCATCCCCCCTAACATCCTACCCATCCCCCTACCCAACACTACCTACCCATCTTCCTACCCACCCAACTATATAGAACTACCTACCTATCCCCCTACCTACCCACTCATCCCACATTCCCACCCATCCCACTACCCACCTACACATCCTCCTGCCCACCCAACCATATAGAACTACCTACCCTCCCAACTACTTACTCACCCATCCCCCTACCCACCCAACCACCTTCCCACCCATCCCACTACTCACCCAACTACCTACCCTCCAGTCTGCCTTCACACTCATTCCCCTACCCACCCATCTTTTTTACCCACTCTCATCCCCCCTGCTCCCCCATCCCCCCTACCCCACCTACCCACTCATACCCCCCATCTTTTTACCCACTCATTCCCCATACCCCCTCCCCCTGCTCCCCCATCCCCCACTCCCCCATCCCCCTACTCACCCAACTACCTACCCACTCATTCCCCTACCCACCCATCTTCTTACCCACTCATTCCCCTACCCACGCAAACCCCTTGCCACCCATCCCCAGGGTGGGTAGGAAAGTCCAGGAAGCAGCGTGGACGGCCGCCCTGCACAGCTCAGGAGGGGGTCTCTGTGCCGGGTGTGGTGGGACTGTGTTGGCATCTATTCCTGCGAACAGCAGAGATGCCACTGCACCACCCGCTGGACAATGCCCGGTATTACACCGAATGTGTGATCAGGAGGCTATAAAAGTCACCCCGATCACTCTCACAGACCAGGTGATCGGCGGCTGAAAGAAGCGGAATCCCAGGAGCAGCCATTACCCTGGTGTGAGCGATTATATACACACATCCGCCAGCAGGGGGTTCCAGTGAGTGAGGACGCTTCTATTAATAGGACCCTCCTGCTGCTCCTGGAGGGCGGGGTTATCTCCCTTCTGTGACTCTGTGCTCCTCCTTCCTCTGAATGTCCTCCTTTCTGACCCGTCTTATTTCTTTTCCAGATCCGACCAATTCCACAAGATGGCGCAGTAATGGCGAGCGGGGCGTAATCCTGCACAACCCCCCCATAATCCTTCATAGCCCACCCTCCATACCCCACCCCCCTTCCCATAATCCCCCACACCCTCCATACTCCACCTACCTTTTCACCCAACTATACACCCCACTTCCCATAGTCCTTTATCTCTCTCACCCAACTGTATAACCCATCCTCCGTACTCCTCCTACACCCTCCATACCAACTTCCAATAATCTTCCATGCCCCCTCCCCCACTTCCAATAATCCTCCATACTCCTCCTACACCCTCCATACCCCAAACCCACTTCCAATACTCTTCCATACCCCTCCCCCACCCACCAACCCCACTTCCAATAATCCTCCATACTCCTCCTACACCTTCCATACCCCAAACCCACTTCCAATACTCTTCCATACCCCTCCCCCACCCTCCATACCCCAGCCCACTTCCCATAAACCTTTTATCCTTCTTACGTAACTGTACCCCCCATTCCCCATAAGCCTTCCATCTCTCTCCCCTCCACTGTATGCCCCACCCCCAGCATCTCTTCTACATCCCATAATCCTCTGTCCTTTTCACCCCAACTCATTATACACCCATCCCCCACCCCCATACACCATCCTTTACCACCACTCCTAGTCCTTCATGACCTTCAGTCATCTTGTACATCTCTTTCCCCATCCTGCCACCCACAGGCCATCTTTCATCTCCTCTGCCATAGTCTTCTGTCCTCCTCACCCCACCACCCTCCATCTTCCAGCCCTGCAGTACATGAAGCCACCCTTCCCCCAACCTTTAGGATAGAGTTCTCCACCATGGTAGGCACTGTGGGTTCACACCTTCTCTCTCCCCTGTCCAGTCCGTACCTCCCTCTAGGGGTCCTCTACTTTGTTCAGGGTTTCCCGTATGGCCTCCAGTCTGGCCTCCTTCCAGTTCTTCTTCGCACCCAGGGCCTCTCCCTTTCTCACATTGGTCTGACCAGAGTCTTGTATCTGCCATGGCTGCTGAAGGTTATGTGGTCTCCACTGGTGGTGGATGGAGTGTGGAGCCGTCGGACGTGGCTACTACTGTGTACAGGAGGACTCTGTGCGTGTTGCCTCCTTTGCTCGGTGCTGCCCCCTGGAACTGCTTTCACCTCTCTGGCCTGGCTGCTCCTGCTCATGCACATTCTGTCCTCCGTGCAGGACGTAGCGTTGGACGCAGTTACTGTGGCGGTGCTCACTGAGGAGCAGGTGGGGTTGGGCAACTCTCTTCAGGTTGTGGCCTACAAGCTGGGCTCAGTGATGGCTGGAGGGGGCGCTCTCACCTTGCTGGATATGTTGGGATGGAGAATGGTTTTTTTTCTGCTTCTCTCGGTTAGTTATCTTCTGGCAACGTTGTGTGCTTGGTGGGCAAGAGCCCTTAAAAGGGAGGAGCCAACATCTCGAGGGACCGCTAAGGAGAAAACAAGACGATTGAGTCTGGGCAGCCTTGTATGGAGCGTTTTCCGGGTTCCAGGGACGGGATGGACCATCATCTATGTTCTGATCTACAAACTGGGTGAGGCCTGGTGTCCTCTGTCTGTCCTGGTGACACCTGTGTCCTCCATATCTAACATATTGACCCTCCACAGGTGAGCAGGGCTCCCTCTCTATGGTTCCCCTCCTACTCCTGGATCATGGTGTCTCTCCCGCTGACCTGGGGATCTGGAATGGGATCCTGGCACTGATGGCTTCCATCGTAGGCTCAGCTCTTGGAGGAATGGTGGTCAGCAAGGGCAGGTAAGGCTTCCATTTACCCCACCCTGTAGCCAAGCACTGAGCCACACATTAAAGCCTATTATGTGCCCCAAAAAAACCTCTACAAGTTTTTTCGCCAACACCACCCGCCGACACCACCAACTGTGCCAGGGAGGTCCACATCCTTACCGCTCTAACAGTGAAGAACCCCTACACAGTTTAAGATTGAACCGCTTCGCATCCAACTTCACATGTCTTCCATAGATACCGAAGATTAAAAGGTTTCCTCCCAATGCTGGAGTCACCATTCAGTGATTTATATATTGTGATCATATCCCATCCTAAACGTTTCTTCTCCAGGGGGAAAACGTTTCATGTTTGTAGTCTTTGCACATAACTGAGCTCCTCCATCCCCCATAACTGAGCTCCTCCATCCCCCCCATAACTGAGTTCCTCCATCCCCCCCATAACTGAGTTCCTCCATCCCCCCCGTAACTGAGCTCCTCCATTCCCCCTGTAACTAAGCTCCTCCACCCCCCCATAATTGAGCTCCTCCATACCCCATAACTGAGCTCCTCCATCCCCCCCCATAACTGAGCTCTTCCATCCCCCCTATAACTGAGCTCTTCCATCCCCCCTATAACTGAGCTCTTCCATCCCCCCTATAACTGAGCTCTTCCATCCCCATAACTGAGCTCCTCCATAACCAAAAATGAGCTCCTCCATAACTGAGCTTCCCCATCCCCAAAAATGAGCTCCCCCATAACTGAGCTTCTCCATCTCCCATAACTGAGCTTCTCCATCTCCCATAACTGAGCTTCTCCATCCCCCATAACTGAGCTCCTCCATCCGCCATAACTTCTTCCATCTCCCATTATTGAGCTCCTTCATAACTGAACTCCATCCCCCATAACTGAGCTCCTCCATCCCCCATAATTTCTTCCATCCCCCATAATTGAGCTCCTCCATCCCCCATAACTGAGCTCCTCCATCCCCCATAACTGAGCTCCTCCATCCTCCCATAACTGAGCTCCTCCATCCCCCATAACTGAGCTCCTCCAGCTCTCTTATTAGCTTTGTTGTCCTCTGGATTCTCTCCAGTTGGGAGAGTGTTCCAGTTATGTCTGAATGGGCCCCTAGAGGCCTGACAAACAGCAGAAGGGGCCTGATATTACTATTACGCAGAATAGGCTCTTCCGTGGGCCTCTCTGATTATGTTTTACTTTGTTACGGGGGCTCTGATTTCATGGCTGAGCTCCTCAGAGTGTTCTCCCAGAGAATAATTCTATTGGATATGGGGGTCAGAGGTCATTTATAGAAAGTCAGATTATGTCCCCCCCCCCCCCACACACACATTTAAAGCAAAATCTGATGCTTAGTTTCGGTAATCCGGTGGGTGCCCATATGTGGCCCTCAGATCACCACGTGGATGGTTGTACACGTTATGTACAAGCCTACCTCCTGGATATGGGGGTCAGCCAGGCTCTGCAGTATCTTGGATGTGTATGGTCAGACTGGCTGCTCGTTCCTTTTAGAGTCACAACCCATTCACCCTGGTGGGTTACCACAAATGCAACTTGTGTCCTGCAATGGGGGTGCGGAGCATTAGTATTCCTTCTGAACAGAACCTCAGTCTACTGACACAATGTGCAGATGTGAACAATGGATTGAGAAAAGTGTGACATGCAGCACTTTTATTGTTGTTGAAGCCCATTGTAGATACATGAGCCTCTCAACGCAATGTATGCGGAACACAGAGGTGTGGTGAGGCTCTTCGTCTATCATGTTGGGTCATTGTCCTCTATCCTCTCCTCCAGGTCCATCAAGTCGCTGCTGGGGACTGTTCTGAGTTTGCGCCTCTCCTGCCTTGTCCTCCAGACGTTTCTCCTCTCTGCTCTTGGTAGAGACACAAGTCTTGTGAAAGGTGAGATGGGATTGGCTGTTCTTGTGTCGATTTGAGATTTTTACTAGCAATGATGTGATGGGAGTTGCACTTAATTTAAAGCCATGGTTATTAGTTTCACCAGTGTGTTCCGGTGGAGCTGAGGTGATATCACACCCGTGTGTTCTGGTGGAGCTGAGGTGATATCACCCGTGTGTTCTGGTGGAGCTGAGGTGATATCACCCGTGTGTTCTGGTGGAGCTGAGGTGATATTAACCGTGTGTTCCGCGGGAGCTTAGGTGATATCACCCGTGTGTTCTGCGGAAGCTGAGGTGATATCACCCGTGTCTTCTGCGGAAGCTGAGGTGATATCACCCGTGTGTTCCGGTGGAGCTGAGGCGATATCACCCGTGTGTTCCGCGGGAGCTGAGGTGATATCACCCGTGTGTTCCGCAGGAGTTGAGGTGATATCACCCGTGTGTTCTGCGGGAGCTGAGGTGATATCACCCGTGTGTTCCGGTGGAGCTGAGGTGATATCACCCGTGTGTTCTGGTGGAGTTGAGGTGATATTACCCGTGTGTTCTGGTGGAGCTGAGGTGATATCACCCATGTGTTCTGGTGGAGCTGAGGTGATATTACCCGTGTGTTCTGCGGGAGCTGAGGTGATATCACCCATGTGTTCTGCGGGAGCTGAGGTGATATCACCCATGTGTTCTGCGGGAGCTGAGGTGATATCACCCGTGTGTTCGCGGGGAGCTGAGGTGATATCACCCGTGTGTTCCGCGGGAGCTGAGGTGATATCACCCGTGTGTTCCGCGGGAGCTGAGGTGATATCACCCGTGTGTTCCGCGGGAGCTGAGGTGATATCACCTGTGTGTTCTGGTGGAGCTGAGGTGATATCACCCGTGTGTTCTGGTGGAGCTGAGGTGATATTACCTGTGTGTTCTGCGAGAGCTGAGGTGATATCACCCATGTGTTCTGCGGGAGCTGAGGTGATATCACCCATGTGTTCTGCGGGAGCTGAGGTGATATCACCCATGTGTTCTGCGGGAGCTGAGGTGATATCACCCATGTGTTCTGCGGGAGCTGAGGTGATATCACCCGTGTGTTCTGCGGGAGCTGAGGTGATATCACCCATGTGTTCTGCGGGAGCTGAGGTGATATCACCCGTGTGTTCTAATGGAGCTGAGGTGATATTACCCATGTGTTCTGTGGAGCTGAGGTGATATTACCCGTGTGTTCTAATGGAGCTGAGGTGATACGGGCAGCACAGTGGCTAAATGATTAGCACTTCCACCTGGCATTGCTAGGGTCGTTGATTCGAACCCCAACCACGGCACCACCTGCCTGGAGTTTGCATGTTCTCCCTGTGCCTGTGGGGTTTCCTCTGGGTACTCCGGTTTCCTCCCACAATCCAAAGATATGCTGGAAGGTTAATTGGATCCTGTCTAAATTGGCCCTAGTATGTGTATGTATGACTGTAAGTTAGGGACCTTAGATTGTACGCTCCTCGGGGGGCGAGGACTGATGTGAATGTACAATATATATTTGTAAAGCGCTGCGTAAACTGATGGTGTTTATATATGTGCCTAAAATAAATCAAATAATAATATCACCCGTGTGTTCTGGTGGAGCTGAGGTGATATCACCCGTGTGTTCTGGTGGAGCTGAGGTGATATCACCCGTGTGTTCTGGTGGAGCTGAGGTGATATCACCCGTGTGTTCTGGTGGAGCTGAGGTGATATCACCCGTGTGTTCTGGTGGAGCTGAGGTGATATCACCCGTGTGTTCTGGTGGAGCTGAGGTGATATCACCCGTGTGTTGTGGTGGAGCTGGGGTGATATCACCCCGTGTGTTCTGATGGAGCTGAGGTGATATCACCCGTGTGTTCTGATGGAGCTGAGGTGATATCACCCGTGTGTTCTGGTGGAGCTGAGGTGATATCACCCGTGTGTTCTGGGGGAGCTGAGGTGATATCATCCGTGTGTTCTGGGGGAGCTGAGGTGATATCACCCGTGTGTTCTGGGGGAGCTGAGGTGATATCACCCGTGTGTTCTGGTGGAGCTGAGGTGATATCACCCGTGTGTTCTGGTGGAGCTGAGGTGATATCACCCGTGTGTTCTGGGGAGCTAAGGTGATATCACCCGTGTGTGTTCTGGTGGAGCTGAGGTGATATCACCCGTGTGTTCTGGTGGAGCTGGGGTGATATCACCCGTGTGTTCTGATGGAGCTGAGGTGATATCACCCGTGTGTTCTGGTGGAGCTGAGGTGATATCACCCGTGTGTTCTGTGGAGCTGAGGTGATATCACCCGTGTGTTTTGTGGTGGAGCTGGGGTGATATCACCCGTGTGTTCTGATGGAGCTGAGGTGATATCACCCGTGTGTTCGGTGGAGCTGAGGTGATATCACCCGTGTGTTCTGGTGGAGTTGAGGTGATATTACCCGTGTGTTCTGGTGGAGCTGAGGTGATATCACCCATGTGTTCTGTGGAGCTGAGGTGATATTACCCGTGTGTTCTGCGGGAGCTGAGGTGATATCACCCATGTGTTCTGCGGGAGCTGAGGTGATATCACCCATGTGTTCTGCGGGAGCTGAGGTGATATCACCCGTGTGTTCCGGTGGAGCTGAGGTGATATCACCCGTGTGTTCCGCGGGAGCTGAGGTGATATCACCCGTGTGTTCCGCGGGAGCTGAGGTGATATCACCCGTGTGTTCCGCGTGGAGCTGAGGTGATATCACCTGTGTGTTCTGGTGGAGCTGAGGTGATATCACCCGTGTGTGTTCTGGTGGAGCTGAGGTGATATTACCTGTGTGTTCTGCGAGAGCTGAGGTGATATCACCCATGTGTTCTTGCGGGAGCTGAGGTGATATCACCCATGTGTTCTGCGGGAGCTGAGGTGATATCACCCATGTGTTCTGCGGGCTGGAGCTGAGGTGATATCACCCATGTGTTCTGCGGGAGCTGAGGTGATATCACCCGTGTGTTCTGCGGGAGCTGAGGTGATATCACCCATGTGTTCTGCGGGAGCTGAGGTGATATCACCCGTGTGTTCTAATGGAGCTGAGGTGATATTACCCATGTGTTCTGTGGAGCTGAGGTGATATTACCCGTGTGTTCTAATGGAGCTGAGGTGATACGGGCAGCACAGTGGCTAAATGATTAGCACTTCCACCTGGCATTGCTAGGGGTCGTTGATTCGAACCCCAACCACGGCACCACCTGCCTGGAGTTTGCATGTTCTCCCTGTGCCTGTGGGGTTTCCTCTGGGTACTCCGGTTTCCTCCCACAATCCAAAGATATGCTGGAAGGTTAATTGGATCCTGTCTAAATTGGCCCTAGTATGTGTATGTATGACTGTAAGTTAGGGACCTTAGATTGTACGCTCCTCGGGGGCGAGGACTGATGTGAATGTACAATATATATTTGTAAAGCGCTGCGTAAAACTGATGGTGTTTATATATGTGCCTAAAATAAATCAAATAATAATATCACCCGTGTGTTCTGGTGGAGCTGAGGTGATATCACCCGTGTGTTCTGGTGGAGCTGAGGTGATATCACCCGTGTGTTCTGGTGGAGCTGAGGTGATATCACCCGTGTGTTCTGGTGGAGCTGAGGTGATATCACCCGTGTGTTCTGGTGGAGCTGAGGTGATATCACCCGTGTGTTCTGGTGGAGCTGAGGTGATATCACCCGTGTGTTGTGGTGGAGCTGGGGTGATATCACCCGTGTGTTCTGATGGAGCTGAGGTGATATCACCCGTGTGTTCTGATGGAGCTGAGGTGATATCACCCGTGTGTTCTGGTGGAGCTGAGGTGATATCACCCGTGTGTTCTGGGGGAGCTGAGGTGATATCATCCGTGTGTTCTGGGGGAGCTGAGGTGATATCACCCGTGTGTTCTGGGGGAGCTGAGGTGATATCACCCGTGTGTTCTGGTGGAGCTGAGGTGATATCACCCGTGTGTTCTGGTGGAGCTGAGGTGATATCACCCGTGTGTTCTGGGGGAGCTAAGGTGATATCACCCGTGTGTTCTGGTGGAGCTGAGGTGATATCACCCGTGTGTTCTGGTGGAGCTGGGGTGATATCACCCGTGTGTTCTGATGGAGCTGAGGTGATATCACCCGTGTGTTCTGGTGGAGCTGAGGTGTGTGTTCTGGTGGAGCTGAGGTGATATCACCCGTGTGTTGTGGTGGAGCTGGGGTGATATCACCCGTGTGTTCTGATGGAGCTGAGGTGATATCACCCGTGTGTTCTGGTGGAGCTGAGGTGATATCACCCGTGTGTTCTGGTGGAGCTGAGGTGATATCACCCATGTGTTGTCTCCTGGGCCATATTATAGCTTCTGATTCCTGCCAGTGCAGTCCAGGAATGCCATTAGGAATTATGGGGCCTCTATTGCCTACCTGAGAGCCCCCCTGTGATGAGATAGGAAGGAGTGCTCACCACCCCTATACCGAAAATTTCAAATATTTAATTTCTGCTCTGAGGGAGCTAATAGAATATCTTAGGCATTCCTGTGGGGCTTCCCTTGTTTTAGTACTGGTTTACTATGTGATGATCACTGTCCCTCTCCTGTGATCACTGTCCTCTCGTGTGATGTTCACGCTCTGATGATCACGGTCTGTCTCTCTAGTCATCTCCTCAATAATATTTTATCTCTGCTTTGTCCTCAGTGTGTCTTCTGCTCAGTGTGGTGGTGCAGCATTTCCTGGCCGGAGTTGTCACCACTGTGACCTTCACTTTGATGATGCACTGCACCCGCCAGGCCCGGCCGAACATTCAGGTAAGGCTGCTGTAGTCAGTAATAATATCCAGTTCAGTGTTTCTAGGCTTCGCACTGCACTCCAGCTGTGGTGCCAACCAAACCTCCGGGTCTCATCTCCTCTCCACAGTTAAAAGTGTGAAAACAGAGTGCACACCGCTTCCAGTTTTTCTTGCAAATATCTCTCTCCTCCTGTCCATCTTCCTTGATGTGTTTCACCCCCTGCTGTCTCTAACTCTATGATTAGGCCCCACCAGGGGGTGAAATGCATCAGAAGGGATGAGACTGGAGGAGAAGACAGGAGGAATACATACAAGAGAAGGATGGGGGATGGGGGATAGGGACAGGAGGAGAAAAGACAGGAGAAGAGGGATAGCAGGAGAGAGACAGGAGATGATGGATGAAAAGGGAAGAGATGGGTGGGAGGAGCTAGGTGGTAGAAGATGAACTGGAAGGGAGAGCAAGGAGGCAAGGTGTGGGAATGGAGGAGAAGGAGGGAAGGAGATGGGTGAGAGGAGATGCACTGGAGGTGAGGAGAGGGGAAGGAGGAGATGGAGGGAAGAAGAGGGATGGGAGGAGATTGACTAGAGGGGAGAATGGAAGCAGTAGGAATGGAGGAGACATGAAGAAATGGAAGGGAGGAGAGGGACAGAAGAAGATGAGTGGCAGGAGATGTATTGGATGGGAGGAGATAGAGGGAAGGAAAGGGACTGGAGGAGATGGGGGGTGAAGGGACTGGAGGAGATGGGGGGTGAAGGGATGGGAGGAGATGGAGGGGAGGGATGGAGAGATGAAGATGAGAGGGAGAAGGACGGTACGAGAATGGTTGCAGGAGATGGACTGGATGGGAGAAGAAGGATGGAAGGAGAGGGACTGGAGGAGATGGATAGGAAGAAAGGAAAGGGATGGGAAATGAGGGCTGTTGGGAGATGGTGGTAGGAGATGGACTAGGGGGAAGGAGAGGGATGTGAGGAGATGGATGGCAGAGGACAGAAGGAGACGGATAAGAGAGAGGGATGGCAGGAGGTGGACGGGAGGGGATAGAAGGGGGAGAGAGGGACAGGGATGGAGGGGAAGGGAAGAGATGGGGAAGTGAGGGATGAAATGGGGCAGAGAGGGACGGGAGGAGATGGAGGGGAGGAGAACAGGTGGTGATGGACCAGAGAAGAGGGACGGGCGGTGATGGACCAGGGGAGGTGGAGGGGAGTGAGGGATGGGAGGGATTAGATGGACAGGGAGAGGAGGGACGAGAAGAGAGGGACAAGTGGAGAGGAATGGGAGGGCATGGAGGGGAGGAGAGGGATGGGAGGAGAAGAGAAGGAAGGTAGGAGCAGGGATGGACAGACGGAGATGGAGGGTATGAGTGGGACAACAGGAGGGGGATCGGAGGAGAGGGGATGGACAGAGGAGGGGAGAAGTATCTCTGCCACTTCTTGCAATGAAGTTTCGCAAGCAAAATGGACTGTGCGGCTCTGTTATTTCACACTGACCACAGCCAATCCCTGTCCTGCTCTGGGGGGGTGCAGCGAGGACTGATTCCAGAGGGACTATATGTAGGATGTCTGGATGTGTGAAGAGTTTTGTACAGGACGGAAGTCTCCTGATCACTATGGTGAGATTTCTGTATACTCCTCATGGTGGTCTCACCTGAAAGCCTATCTCCAAACAGAACATTAATATTTTCACATTAGTGAAAGTTGTCCCCTATTTCCACAGCCGGGTCCCTGTCCAGTGCCATTTCCAGGTATAAGGACCACTCATCCAGGGCTGTGAATACACCCATCCAGCTGGTTCCCAACAGTCCCCTCTCAGTGAAGTCACTTTTCTGGATCCTGAGAGGACCTCACTGCTGGACAGCCAAATGAAAATGTCACACAGGCAATGACATGGACACCCGAAGAACCCTGCCGGATGTGAACATAAGGGCGGGAGTATTTAGATCAGCCAGTGGGGTGGGAGGGGTTAGTATTTACCTGGAGATGGACTTGTAAGATGACATTTCCCGCTCTTCTCTCTCTGCAGGCCAGTCACTACAGCCTCCTGTCCTCCTTGGAGGTCCTGGGGAAGGTCTCCTTCAGCGCAGTGTCTGGGATCATCGTGGACTCTCTCGGAGTTTCCGTATCGTTCTCGGTGTTCATCGCTCTGTCCTGCCTGCCCCTCCTGCACCTCCTGAACCTTCCACCGACTTTATCCTGATGACCGCAGAGCTGACACTCTCCACCAATAAACTGTGAATTGGCAGGTTCTCTGCTGCTGTGGATCCTGGAGATCCTTTATATTGATTCGGGTTCAGGACTGGAAAATAATACGATCGTTTCTCTCCAGAGAGGAGCAATAAAATTCAGATTTGTAATAATGTGTTATCCGTTCGTTCACTTTTTGTAGATTCAGCCTTCACTATTACTATGGCATTATGGGACTATGGACTGTGGGACTATGGTTACGATCACTCTCCATGGTCCCCGTTGTATAATAGGAACATAGCCACCTCTTTGTCACTCCCAGAGAGGACTATCAGGAGTGTGGGCTATAGACAAATGGGACTATACTATGGATTATGGGACTATGGACTGTGGGACTATGGTTACGATCACTCTCCATGGTCCCGTTGTATATAGGAAAATAGCCACCACGTGTTTCACTCCCAAGATGGACTATGGAGTGTGGGCTATAGACAATGGGACTATGAACTATGGGATTATGGACTGTGGGACTATGGTTACGATCACTCTCCATGGTCCCGTTGTATATAGGAACATAGCCACCTCTTGTTCACTCCCAAGATGGACTATGGAGTGTGGGATATAGACAATGGGACTATGAACTATGGGATTATGGACTGTGGGACTATAGCTATGTTTGTTATCTAGAATCCCACTGTATGTAGGAACAAAGTCCTTTCTCGATTCCTGAGATGGACTGTGGGACTATGGCTATGTTCCTACATACAGTATGATTATGGAGAATAGACCACCTTCTCTTAGTCACTCCCCAGATGGACTGTGGGACCATGGCTACATTCCTATATACAGTGGGACCATAGAGTGGAAAAAAACACCTTGCTCACTCCGGAGATGGACTATGGAATGGGGAAGTATGGACTACAGCCACCAACGGACTATGAGATTATAGGACTGTGAACTATGGGATTATGGCTTGGATCGTTCTCTCCATGGTCCCATTGTATGTTGGAATGTATCCACCTTCTCTTGCTCATTCCGGAGATGGACTATGGACTGTGGGACTATGGCTATGTTTTACATACAGTAGGACCGTGGAGAATAAACCACCTTCTCTTGCTCACTCCTGAGATGGACTATGGAATGGGGAAGTATGGACTACAGACACCGACGGTCTATATGGCAAGGTGTGTCAAACTGGCGGCCCTCCAGCTGTTGCAAAAGTCCCATCATGCTCTGCCTTTGGGAGTCATGCTTGTAACCGTCAATCTTGCAATGCCTCATGGGACTTGTAGTTTGGCAACAGCCATAGAGCCGCCAGTTTGACACCAGTGGTTCTTTGGGATTATAGGACTCTGAATATGGGATTGTGGCTTGGATTGTTCTCCATGGTCCCATTGTATATTGGAATGTATCCACCTTCTCTTGCTCAATCCGAGATGGACTGTGGGACTATGGACTGTGGGACTATGGACTGTGGGACTATGGACTGTGGGGACTATGGACTGTGGGACTATGGACTGTGCGGGGGGACTATGGACTGGGGACTAGGGGGACTATGGCTACGTTACAGGAAACCTTTGTAGGAGGAGGGG